AGGGGCGTAACATTTCCGTCACATGCTTGATGTATTCGGCCAATCACAACGCACTGGATAGTTGGCCAATCAGAGCACACCTCGCTTTTCAGACCGATTAGTTTTGTAAAAATCGACGCGTTTCAAAAAGGCGGGGCATAGATGAGAAACAATAATGTACAGTATGTGGAAAATAATGTGTTTTTTTAACTTTAAACCGCATAAACACATTTCATTACACCAAATACACAAAATAATGTTCTTTTTAGCAGCATCATATGACCCCTTTAAGCTTCTCTTTACTTAAGCTTCTCTTCCTTAAAATTCTTCAGTTTTTTGGTAATGATTTTCAAAGGGTTGAAGTCCTGTTTACCGTCAGACTGACATTTGGTTGCCATAACGATTGTGAAACGCTTGTGTTCTGTGTCTCATGGCATGATCACAAGCACTGAATTGCACATGACATAAGACAGAGATAACACCCCTATGAATATATGGTTTATGACACTGATATAGATGATGTGCCAAGCTTAGTGTAGTGCAAAAATGTCTTGTTTAAAGGTATAGTTCACCCAAAAATCTCTTTATTTACTCACCCTCATCATGTCATTGCAAAATTGTATGATTTTCCTTTGCCCATGGAACACAAAAGGGGAATTTCCGAAGAATGTCTCGATTGCTTTTTATCACATAATATGAAGCTGTCAAGCTTCAAAATGACAAAAAACACAGCACTTCAAGCATTTGTCATTTTGAAGCTTTAAAGCAACAGTTCACATTCACTTTCATTATCTTGGCCACTCTTGATTATATTACTAAGAAATTCACCTTTGTTCCCCAGAAGACGGAGAGTCAGGTTTGGAATGACATGAGGGCGAGTAAATGATGACAGAATTTTTATTTTTAAGTGAATTATTCTTTTAAATCTATTTATTAGTGTGCATTTTGTAATTCTTTTTAATTCTTTATATCTTCAAGGTCATTACCAGGTACAACGGCAGCAGAGTGTGAATCAAATCTCAAAAAGATATACACTGTCCACACTGTACAAGTAGGTGTTGCACTTTTATTAGAAGTAATTTTGTAATTGTCATTTTATAATTATATGTTGTGCCTGATCAACCTGAAAAACTAGTCCTTTGATATATTAATCAAGATGTGGTGAAATTTCTGTTTTTGTAGAATTTTAATTGAGATATATGCAAATTTGGCAAGCCCAAATTTGACGGATGCTAATAACTGATAATTATTATGTTCAATATTTTGCTTGATCATCTTTCCAATTCATTATAGCTTCCATTTAGATTTGTATATGACTTAAATGAAATTATGCACCAAAATATTATAATGGACAATAAATAGTGTTTAATAGTTTTGTAAGCCAGCAGAAAAAAAGTTTACTGTTGCAGTTGGGAAAAATATTGTTGCTGATATATTATGCATCACCTATTTTTCATAACATAAAGAGTTTCTGGAGTGTGTACAACAACATCCCTGCTGTGTCCTGCCTCCCTCTGAGGTGTAGCTACCACTTAATGCGAGGAGAAAGAAGACCACTATGGTGAGTCTCCAGCTAATTCACGATAAAAGTTTTAATTTTTTTTCTTTTTGTTAAAAGAAATTAATACTTGTTATCAGCAACGATGCATTGAATTGATCAAAAGTGGCAGTAAAGACATTTATAATGTTACAAAACTTCTATTTCAAATAAATGCTGCTCTTTTGGACTTTGTATTCGTCAAAAAATCCTGAGCAAATCGGTTTCATTTAAACTGTTAATAAAAATGTTTCTTGAGCAGCAAATCGGCATATTAGAATGATCTCTGAAGGGTCATGTGACACTGAACACTGGAGTAATGATGCTGAATATTCAGCTTTGCATCACAGGAATAAATCGCATTTTAAAATATATTAAAATAGAAAACAGTTATTTTAAATTGTAATAATATTTCACAATATTACGGATTTTACTGAGTTTCTGATCAAATAAATGCAGCCTTTGTGAGCACAAGACACTTCCTTTACTTTTTAACTGGAATGTATATCTGTCCTCAGCTTGGGAAATGCCTTTGGGACAATTTATATAAACCATTTTGTTTAAAAATATTTTTTTCTGTCTACACAGGGAAGAGGAAAGCAATGCCAAGGGAGGTGTTTGGAAAATGAAAGTGCCAAAGGAGAGCACAGTAAGTCTGCTCCACTTTGACTTGTAGACTGACTGCATAATGTAAATACGTTAAATACATACACAAATTCCCATACATTCTGGTGTGTGTTATCACTGCCAAAATATAATCTGTCCATATCCTTTTTTCTAACAGTTAGCTGTGTGGAAGGAGCTGCTATTGGCTACAATTGGTGAACAGTTCACAGATTACTGTGCATCAGGTGAGTATATTTTGTAATTGTCATTTTATAATTATATGTTGTGCCTGATCAACCTGAAAAACTAGTCCTTTGATATATTAATCAAGATGTGGTGAAATTTCTGTTTTTGTAGAATTTTAATTGAGATATATGCAAATTTGGCAAGCCCAAATTTGACGGATGCTAATAACTGATAATTATTATGTTCAATATTTTGCTTGATCATCTTTCCAATTCATTATAGCTTCCAGTTAGATTTGTATATGACTTAAATGAAATTATGCACCAAAATATTATAATGGACAATAAATAGTGTTTAATAGTTTTGTAAGCCAGCAGAAAAAAAGTTTACTGTTGCAGTTGGGAAAAATATTGTTGCTGATATATTATGCATCACCTATTTTTCATAACATAAAGAGTTTCTGGAGTGTGTACAACAACATCCCTGCTGTGTCCTGCCTCCCTCTGAGGTGTAGCTACCACTTAATGCGAGGAGAAAGAAGACCACTATGGTGAGTCTCCAGCTAATTCACGATAAAAGTTTTAATTTTTTTTCTTTTTGTTAAAAGAAATTAATACTTGTTATCAGCAACGATGCATTGAATTGATCAAAAGTGGCAGTAAAGACATTTATAATGTTACAAAACTTCTATTTCAAATAAATGCTGCTCTTTTGGACTTTGTATTCGTCAAAAAATCCTGAGCAAATCGGTTTCATTTAAACTGTTAATAAAAATGTTTCTTGAGCAGCAAATCGGCATATTAGAATGATCTCTGAAGGGTCATGTGACACTGAACACTGGAGTAATGATGCTGAATATTCAGCTTTGCATCACAGGAATAAATCGCATTTTAAAATATATTAAAATAGAAAACAGTTATTTTAAATTGTAATAATATTTCACAATATTACGGATTTTACTGAGTTTCTGATCAAATAAATGCAGCCTTTGTGAGCACAAGACACTTCCTTTACTTTTTAACTGGAATGTATATCTGTCCTCAGCTTGGGAAATGCCTTTGGGACAATTTATATAAACCATTTTGTTTAAAAATATTTTTTTCTGTCTACACAGGGAAGAGGAAAGCAATGCCAAGGGAGGTGTTTGGAAAATGAAAGTGCCAAAGGAGAGCACAGTAAGTCTGCTCCACTTTGACTTGTAGACTGACTGCATAATGTAAATACGTTAAATACATACACAAATTCCCATACATTCTGGTGTGTGTTATCACTGCCAAAATATAATCTGTCCATATCCTTTTTTCTAACAGTTAGCTGTGTGGAAGGAGCTGCTATTGGCTACAATTGGTGAACAGTTCACAGATTACTGTGCATCAGGTGAGTATAGAAATATGTTCTATTCAATTATTTAAATGATGTTTATTTTATTGATAACATTTAAGTAAGTAATGCAATATTTGTTTGTCTTTTTAGAGGATGAGGTGGTAGGAGTAAGTGTCAGTGTGAGAGAACGAGAAGATGTGGTTCAGGTCTGGAATGGAAACGCCTCTTTTGCCAATGAGGCAAACGTTTTAGGAAGAATCTACGAACTTCTTCCACAGATATCTTTTAAAGCAGTATTTTATAAACGTAAGTGTCAGCGGTTTACATTCTTCTCACTGCATGCCACACTGTCCATGCTGAGAGTTCACTGTTTATTGTTGAAACAATAGTTGCGTGAGAACTCCCTAATGGCTGGATACAATGTTATACATTTTTCTATTAAACTAATTGTATTTATAGATTTGGTTAAGTTAATTAACACATTTTAAGTGCAAAAACATCATAGAATTGTTATTGACTGATTCCATTTTTTTTTTTTTTTCAGCACACGAGGAGCACCATGCATTTGAAGGTGGTCGCTCAAGACATTAGCAAGCTTTGCACATTCACCACAGTTTTCCCTGTTTTTGGACTGATCCTAGAAAATGGACTGAAAACGGAAAAAGAATCCCTCCTGGGCGAACAGAACTCTTGGGTTTTGCGGTTGTTTCATGTCACATAGGGAATGCTACAGCCCTGTTTTTAAGTTGTAAGCGTTGCAGATGATCCCTCCATGCTTTTTGTAAGAAGTTTTCTCCTAACAGATATTTAGGCAATATCAATAAAGCTCACATAGCCAGTAGCATATGTAATATAAATTAGGGTGACCATACGTGCCATTTTTCCCGGACGCATCCTGGCCAGGATTTCTATATTGCCTAAAATATCTAGGGTTTGGCTTTGTTTGCGTGTGCAGACCAACATAGTAGTATGACATCGGTTCCTTATGTTTTCGAAACGCTCTCGAGGTACTTTGAATCAAAGCAATATAGAAATCCCGGCCAGGACGCGTACGGGAAAAATGGCACGTATGGTCACCCTAATATAAATCGTCACGACAGAGCAATGTTGCCAATTGTCATGGCCCATTTCTAGGTTTAGTGATCAAATGTGCAGTCCAGTGACAGTTGCTGCTTGTCAAAGTATATACTTGTTGTGTTAGAAATCCATTAGGATCAAACTCTTTAGGGCTGTTTTTCCTTAGACACACATTAGGCATAACCTTAGACTAAATAAAGGTCTAAGGCTAAGCTTAATCTGCTTCTGGGAACTCTTTTATGCAAAAGTATTGCACATTTCTTTTTGGGGAAAAAACCTCTTTGGCTTGGAGGTTATTAATGATTTCAGAGCAAATGTAAGTGGGTGTAACAGCCTTGGTTATAACAGTAAGTATACAGCGAAATGCATATGCAATTCCACGTTTTCACCCTAAATGTGATATTTAAGTCCATTTAAATAATCCTGTATTAATCACATGAGGGTAAATTCTTGCATCTTGCGAACGGCTTTGCTTTTATGATTTAGAAAACTATCCAGATCTCCTCCTGTAGTATTTTATGTAAGTCAAAGCTGTTTTAGAATGGCGTCATAGCACTGTTGAACTTCTCTTTTCTTTTTCGGTTACTGCCTCGTGGTTGATATCCTGCATTTTGTTCTATGCGTTGCTGTAGGCGCTTAGTGCCTCGTCTTTGTCGAAATAGTCCAAATGCTTAATATTTTCATTGTCGGAAATCATTAAGTCTATATTTTTTTTTAACTTATGCATTTGCTTCTAACTGCCTTTTCATTCACTATAATCACACTGTGTCTTGTTTCAGATTGTATTTGTTTTATTGTGTTTGGATGGATGCTTATGTTGGAAAACTTGTGAGTCGAGGGGAGCTAGTGTAGCTATTGTCAAATTATGAAACTGAAAATGACCTGTGTTATCATCAGAGCATATATTTTTTAGTTTTTCAGTACCAAAGAGATTTCCTTTCTGTTTTCCTGTGTTATAATTCATCATCGTCTGTGATCTGCACGTGTCTGCGTCCTTCTGAACTCGTATAGAGAGAGTTAAAACCGTGTTTCTCACGTTCGTTTTTACTGATGTCTTTTTCATTAGCTCACTTTCTGCTGTGTGGCGGTTTTATTTAGGTTTGTCAAGTCTGAAACTTCAAGCCCGAAAAGACCTGTATCATGAACCAGGTCCCTTAATGCACTAAAAAGCACAATTATGATTTTGTCCTTCATGTGGGCAGGGATGTGCAAAATAACCTGTACATGCAGCTGACCTTTCATATTTCAGCCTTTTCCTACCTATCACCGATCTCTCAATGAGATGCGAGTACTGACGTGGATTTTTGAGTTTATTTTTAGGAGCATTTGTGTCGGTTTTCCAGGCTCCCAATCAGGATCTGAAACCTCAAACTGATTGTCAATCTTCTGGAATGGTGCCTTGTGTTCTCCTAGGGTTTCACTCACAGAATGTTTTGTTTATCTCTATGTATTTAATCAGTTATATAAATTTTTTTTCTTTTGCTTATAGGTTTTGAAATATTGAATAAATACAAAGCAGAATTCGAAATATGACTACTGCAGTTATTTCAACAAAAAATGCAGTGTCTTTCATTTCAAATGCATGCGTTTATGATGTATAAAATACTAATGTAGTAACCACTAGGTGGCGCTGCACACCCTTTAAACGCAATTTTTAATGTCTTCACTTGTCTGCATCTCCAATACCTTTTATTTAATTTACATTTCACCAGATTTGCTCCACATATCTTTCCCGCCAGTTCGTGTTTAATATGTTATTGATTAATGCCTCATGGAATGAATCATATCCAGTCTAGTGCGCAACATTATTTATTCCTCGCTTCTTGCGCGGCGACGCACTTACAGCCCTCAGCAGGTGGACGTGACGTCACGCCCCAACAGCTACTCTGCTCTCCAACTCACCTGAAAAACTCGGTTTTGACACCACTCACACACTAAATTTATCCAATTCTTGTTTATCGTTTATAATTCGACGCTCGCTGTAAACAGTGCCGTATACTTGCAAAATTCAGTCGCGTGGTCCGTAAAGTAGTCCCTGGGACGCGGACTGCGGAAGGATACACTTGTTTACATTGTGCTGCACGCGGCAGTGTGGCGGCCAGCGCGCGGGTGCGCGAGCTTCACGGGAAACCGATACACTGCGCTTTCCAGCTCGCAAAAGTTCGTTCCAGGGTCGCTGTTAAAGTTTTCATTTCTGTCCGTTGAGAAAGCACTTCATCCCCGGTAAGTTTATTCTTTTTATCAAGTTTTCTTCACTGTGTTTATTCGTAATTTACATTGCGAGGTTGATTTGCTAGTTATTAGCCTTATCAGAACTAACGGCAGCGCTGGGGAGCAGACAGGAGGAGCAGCTAATTCAAAGCTCTCCACACTTTTATCGCCATTTATTTAGTGTTTTATTACAGGCAATTTACCTTGAACAAAGTCGGTGGCTTTCGTTACACTAGTAATTGTCGCAGCATCCCATTTAAACCCCTTATGGGAGTGTTAGCTGGCTAACATGTGCCTTTGGTTCAGTTCATGTGGAGAACAAAAACAGCCAGAGTAACTTCAGTTCAAGACACTGCACGCAGTCTGTTGTAAATCACATCTAACCTCCAAATCCCCACAGTTTTTTTTTTATTATTATTAAACTGTTACGTTTACAAAACAAATATTAACAACACAGCATATACTAAAAGATACATGCATACTGTACATATACATGCATACAAATCTACAAATACCGGTACATACATTATTGGACTGTTGATCATGCAAAATATACATACACATACATCTTTGGAAGTTAATCAAGTAACTTAAATGCACATTTTTTCAGTTACCCAATCATTATACATTTAGGCCTAAAATAAAAATGTAGTAATTTGTTTAAATCAGTTATTTTCTTTTTGAACATATCATCTTTACCCATTCAAATATATATATATATATATATATATATATATAAATAATTACTATTTTTTGCTCCACACTATAATTATGCAGCCTGTATTACAATGTTTGTCAGTGGGCATTAGTCAAATCTCATTCAATTGAGTGTTAATCCTAACTGGGTGGTTTGATTTTGGTCAGCAGGTTTAAACAGGGACTCACATGCATACTCTCATAGAGGCGTGTTACTTTGGTTGTGTCTCATAGCTGAGTGAAGTACCTACCTAGACTTATTTTAGGGCACCTATAATGCAAAGAAGTGCTGCCTAGGTAGGTTGGTAGATCTCCAGGTTTTCACAGCCAGTATTTTTAGTGTACTTGGTTTGCTGAGTTTCATAATTCTTCATGTGTACTAAAAAGTTAAAAAAAACCCTCCTTCAGTTTCATTGTTTGATTTTGAAGTTGTTGAAACTACAACAAATACAAAAAAAGCTACGCCCCTTGACAGGTTTCATTTCTCCTTTTTGCCTCTGAGCATTTACAATTCAGTTAATTATTTGTTGCAGCTCTTTACAGGCATCCCATTCAGTCTTTTTTTTTTTTTTTACTTTAGTTGTCTGTTCTTAAACCAGGTGTTACTTGCCTTTAGGATCTGGTTCCCTCACTTTACGGCCCATTGTGAAGATCTGTCCATTCAGCACAACTGGAAAACAGTTTCAGTAGAGCGTTAAAGAGGATTTCATTTGTTAGTACAGAGGGTTCCCAAATTATAATTTTTTTTATGACGAATTATTTACAAGTACCCCTCTGAGATTAAGTTAATATTTCAATAATTTAATGACACATTTGCATGTCCACACTTTTCTGATGTCAGTTAATAGTCACACGATATGCAAGTAAACAGAAAACTATTATATTTTTTGTAGTAACTTTCATGTAGAGATAGGTGTGTGTATGTACATGTTATATGTATATATCTGAAAAAGTTATTAAAATTAATAAAGTTATTAAATGTATAATACAACCATGTATGAATGAAATATAAACTTAATTTTTATCACATCTACAAAAATTGTTCAGTCAAGATGTTTGTTCATAATCTCTACAATTCGTTTGAGAAGTAGATTGTTGATGTCTTCAAGATTGATCATGATATAAATTTGTCAGATCGCCCACACTTACTTGGGTTCACTCTTTACAAGAACAAGCTAACACCACAAGTTACAATACAAATATTTGTCTTATTCACTTTAAGATGTTCAAACTCTCAAGCTTTTAACATGTCAAGTCTTCAAGCTTTTATTGTGGTTTAATATTGGCATGCTGTAAACGTCTGTCCACAAAAATGTTGGCAGTTCTGCTTATGTGAATTTACAAAAAGTAATGTGAACCTAGTGCACATTGATTTTCCAAATGCATTCCCATTTCCAGTTTTGAAAATATGGTATTATGAGCTGCACACGTATAAATAAACACAGTGCCACTCTTTACTCTGAAACTTCTACTTCAATTAAATAGCAGTCTTTGATTTGAAAATTGCAATTTGATAAGATCAATGACTGTTTCAGCTTTATTAATTGTGCAACCCCATTTGTTTATTTTAATGTTATATTCGATTGAATTAGGGCTGCACGATTAATCAAATGCGATAGTCATGCGCATCTTGTTAGTAAAGCTGGTTCTGTGATTAGTAGTAAATCTCCATCACGTGCTTTCAGATGGAGCAGCATTTTCTACACAGAGCCGTAGTTCACTGACAAGCTACGCAGTATCGTGTTCATTATCGCAGACGATTTAATCGCACAATAATGAAATCGAAGATATCGTTCTGCGATAATGACAGCCGTTTGCGTAGCTTCTCAGTGAACTACAGCTCTGTGTAGTAAATGCTGCTCCATCTGAAAACTTGTGAAAATACCACATTTAATAACATGTTTTTACTCCAAACTC